ACTCACCTCAGCCTCCCAAAGCGCGGGATTACAGGCTGAGCCACCAAGCCCGGCTGGAACCACATTCTTAAAAAGCTGTTATAAGGACCAGGCGCATTGGCTCAAGCCTGTAATCCCAGAACTCTGGGAGGCCAATGCAAGAGGATTGCCTGAGTGCAGGGGTTTGAGACCAGCCTGGGCAACTTGGTGAGACCTTATCTCTACAATAAATCAAAAAATTAGCCAGGTATGGTGGTACTCACCTGTAGTTCCAGCTACTTGGAAGGCTGAAGCAGAAGGATCGTCTGAGCCCAGCAGGTCGAGGCTACGGTGGTTGTGAGTGTGCCACTGCACTCTAGCCTGGGCAGTAGAGTGAGACTCTGACTCAAAAAAAAAAAAAGCATTCTTAAATGTAGAGGATGGCACATACTCTTTGGTTGGCATTGGTTGGAATAAGAATTGCAAATCAGTTTCCACTGCAACATTAACTTTACCTCGTTGGGACTGGCACCAAGATTGCTGGTCCCAAACCTGCGATGTGAGAATCACCTGGGAGACTCTGAAAACTTCCAGTGCCCAGGTCACATTCCACAGCAATGACATCAGGATGAAAGTCAGGTTTCAGGAGTTTTTAAAGATCGCCTGGTTATTCTCCTGGGCAGCAAGGTCTGGGCACTGCAGGTTCAGAACAGAATTTCTTTTTTCCAGTTGGAGTCTCACTCTGTCACCCAGGCTGGTGTTCAGTGGCACGCTCATAGCCACCGCAGCCTCAATCTGCTGGGCTCAGGTGATCTTTCTCCCTCAACCTTCTAAGTAGCTGGAACTACAGGCACACATCACCATGCCCAGTTAATTTTCTGATTTATTGTAGAGATGAGGTCTTGCCAAGTTGCCCAGGTGGTATTTAACCTGTGGGTTCAGGCAATCCTCTCACCTTGGCCTCCCAAAGTGCCGGGATTACAGGTGTGAGCCACAGTGCCCAGCAGAACAGTATTTTTTGAGAAGATTGCTGAGGCTGAGTACAGCATAAGAAGGCATCATGATCAATAAAGTCTGCCATGCACACAAGGGGAACAATTTCAGCCACATGCCACATATTTGCCATTCCTAAATATTCCTAATCAAGGAATTGAAACCAGTGGACTAGAAACAGGAAGAGCAGCTTACATCCTGTATCACTTTCCCACACATTGTCTCATTTAATCAGGAACATTTAATTAAATCAGAAGAACTGAAAAGGGAGAAACAGAATTGAAAAAGAAAAACTTGAAGAGAAAATGTGCATAGCTAAGGAAGTAATTAACTTATCTAAATGTTGCTCACCCTCAACTCTACCTCCTTGCCCAGCAAGTCAAACAGAGATGCTCCCTTGGAGGTGATTTCAGATGCAAGCTGCCTGGCTGCTTTCAAGTCTGCAGTCTGGAAGAAAAATATCAAAAACAGAAACCTCAGTGACATTTTTACCAGGCATTCAATCACTAATCTGTTAATATTAATTTCTACCTTTGGTCAGGACCCTTCACTACAGAACATGTTTTTCACCAGGCACATACATGCTGCAGAAGAACGCTTCCAGGACAGGGTTGCTATGAGGCTTAAATAGGGTAACATCTACTAAGTACTCACAACAGTTCTGGGCTCCACAGTGTGGGGGCAAGCTACTGCCAGGAAGGTAATAAAGACACACTATTATTTAACTCTCTGCACAGACTTCTTTCTTAGGATGTGCATGCCACCCCTTTTCCTTGTTTATGCTGAATTTTCCAAAGAGCCCAAACATAAACTATCCCATTCTCTCCTAAACAACTAATTCCCAGCTTCTCTCTTTTGTTTTCTACCCACCAGCAATAATGCTCCCTCTTTGTTCACAACTGATGCCTTTCTTCCTACTTCTTTAGTACTCCAAGATATGGCTCGCTCCAGCTCTAACTGCCTTTTCCTTCCTTCCTGGCAGCAAATGCCCAGTTTTCTTTCCAGGGTTCTCCTCACCTTCTCTACTTCTTAACCGTAGAGTGTGCCAGAACTGAGTTTCAGGGCCTCTCTTCTGCTCTGCTGGCTCTCCTCCTAACCCTGTAGCTTTAACACTATCTTTGTGCTGATGCTTCCCCAGTTCTAGCCTGGACTCTCCCCTGAGTTCCAGCCTCACACACCAGCTACTTGCACATTTCCACCTGAGCATTCCAACAGGCATTGCAAATGTAACACATCTAGAACCTTCTCCATTTCAGTAAATGACAACCTTATCCTTCCAGGTGCTCAGACCAAAAGCTTCAGAGCCATGATGTCTCTTGCAGTAAACCACTAACCACATGTAGCCACTTTCACTTAAATTATTTAAAAATTAAATAAAATTGGACTCAGTTCCTCAGTTGTACTCACCATGCACAGCCAACAGCCCCCGTGGAGTACAGCACAAAGGCAGAACACATCCCTTAGAGCAACAAGTTTGACTGCATGGCCTTCTCAGGATCTTCCTTGCATTACGCTGTTTACTCTCAACCCACATCCAATCCCCAAGATCTCCTGTCAAAGTATGCCCTAACCTCTAGTCACTTCTGGATTCTAGCTCCAGTCATCGTTAAAAACCCATGAATGAGTTTTCAGGTCCAACTGTCAGTAATTACAAGGCTTTACTTGGCTGGCCTCATAGAGGAAGCTACCCTTCCTCACTCCAGATGTGGGACACAGCCAGTGCACTGCAGGTTCTGAAGGAGCTGCACTCAAGGACTCAGGGCCCCCCATGTTCTTATTTACATTTCTAGCCACAGCTCCCTCATTCCTAGGTCTCTTTATCTGAGGCCTTGGGCCAAGGTCCTCTTCAGGTGCCTCTGCTAACACTGCCTTATGAGGGGAGAAGGGGAGACCTTGAAGACACTTTGCCCACTGACTCAGAAGCTGGAACTCTTCCACTCCAAGCCCACCTACCTTGGCTTTCCCCCCACCTCAGAATCCATAAAACTGCCAAAGCCCTTTGCTGGGTGCTCCCTAACACTGAGACAACTCCACATCTGTGCAGATTCACCTGGCCATTGGCCTGTGTGCCATTCCATGGGGGAAAGTGGAATGGGGGAGTTGGTGCTTCCTCTTTAGAGTCTTGCTTTTACCATCACACAGTAAGTGATTAAAGGTTAAATTTTCGAAGCCGGGCTCGGTGGCTCAGCCTGTAATCTCACCCTTTGGGAGGCTGAGGTGAGTGGATTGCCTGGCCCGCAGGTTCGAGACCTGCCAGGGCAACTTGGCGAGACCCCATCTCTACAATAAATCAAAAATTAGCCGGGGGTGGCAGCGCGCGCCTGTAGTCCCAGCTACTTGGAAGGCTGAGGCGGAAGGATCGCCAGAGCCCAGCAGGTCGAGGCTGCGGTGGCCGGGAGTGGCCACTGCACTCCAATCTGGGTGACAGAGTGAGACTCCAACTCAAAAAAAAAAAAAAGGTTAAATTTTCTTTAGCTTTGCTGTTGTCATCAGCTCCTCCAATCCTGATAGCCCATCTCTCTCTACAGCTCTGCAGAGCTCCTACATCTACCTCCCCCACCGCCACTCTGTATGAAGTCACTGTCATCCCTGCTTTCAACTGGTATCACCACTTCCACTCTTGCCTCCCCCTTCAGTGTGACAACATCCTAGCAGCCAGAGTGATCCTTTGAACAGGTAATTCAAAACATGTCGGTTTCTACTCAAAACCGAACGACTTTCTACCTCAGATTAAAAGTAAAAGGCTTTCCAGGTGCCAGAGCATCTGTTACTGGCTCTCCTCATATAGCCTCCTTACTTCTCCTCAAACATATAAAACACATTCCCATCAAGAGATGCTCTTCCCCACCCTGCATGGCTCGTTCCTTCCCTCCCTCAGATCTCTGCTGAAAACACCATCGAATCCGTGAGAACTTCCTGATCATCCTATTTAACCCTTTGCACTTGGATGTCCCCTCTGAGGGGACATTGTAAACCCAGCAAATCACTTGGATGTCCACCTCTTAGGGGATACTGTAAATCTAGCAAACCACTCAGATGTCCCCTCTCAGGGGACAAAAAGAGATTGCTGGTGACTATACAGGACAAACTTATGCAAGCACAAATTTTTCAAAAATGTATGTTTCCTCAAGTTTTCCATTCAAATTGGATGAAAAAGCAAATAAAGAGATGGAATATATAATAAGGTATAATCGATCAGTTGAGAAGTGGTTTTTTAAGAACCATGAGTGTGTCCTTCCACATCTTCTTTGAACAACAGACTGAATAATAAATTATATATTATTAATGTGGGAGGAAGAAAACAAGACTGCATTGTCTGCTCAAATAGAAAAACACCCAGTGGAAGACGTCAAACAAATTACTATTGCACAACATGTATAAATGAACTTGTAATACATGTTTGTGACTGTTCCACACATTACCACATGTCAGAAAAAGATAAGATATAAAACCTTAATTTTTTGTCATAAATAAGTTCCTCAGTGTCCAAAGTTCCATAATAAGTCAAATATCATTACAATAAAATAATTGGTTCCAAGCCATAAGATTTAATATGATTTGTTTTTCACTACTTCATCAAAAAGTGGGGTCAGTCAAGTTGCTGGTAGATGTCTCCGAGTGCAAAAGGTTAGGTTACCCCCAGCACTCTGCATCCTTGTCCGTTTTACTGTTCTCTACAGTATTTACTGCATCTGACCTTCCATACCTCTCCCATCATTGTTCACAGTCTGACTCCCCCAACTAAGCAGCAGAGATACACAATTTCTCTCCTTTTGTTCACACCTGTATGCCCAATGCTTGAATGCTACCTGACAAGTACTAGGGTTTCAATAAATAGTGGAATTAATGTATTGTGACTTTGCTTTTATTCAAACACTAATGAGCCCAAAACTGATAAACTGCCCTCTGCAAGGGTAAGGAAAGAAATGGTGCTGTATGAGAAACATTCCATTTCAGAGTTTGAGAAATAAACATTCTGTCCCTCACTACAAGCCTTTCGTCGTCCTTACCTTTGAGCCAAGATCGAACTTGAATTTGCTGATATCTTCCTCTCCTATTTTAAAGCCCTCCATCCCTTTGGTCTTCATAGCATTATAAAGGACAGATGTGATTTTCAACAGTTCTTTCACGGCATACCCATCTGCTTGATAAAGCTTCTTAGTGTTGAGTTTTATGTGTGCCTTGGTGGCCTATTTATAGACACAAAAAAAATTTAGGGCCCTTTCCATGTAATGTTTAAGCCAAATCCCACATAGATAAATTGAAAATGTCTCTGCCATAATTGAAATATAACCTAATAGTATTAAGAGTAAAGCATTCGAGCAACTCATACATTGTAAGTGGGTATGTAAATTGGTACGATCTTGGTGGAGAGTAATTTGGTAAAAGACACTAAAATTACAAATGCATGTCTTTGACCCAGCAGTTCCAATCCTAAGAACTTATTCTAGGGATATATTCACATAAAACAAAATGATATGTATAGATTATTTGTTATAACACTGTTTCAAAGAGCAAAGTTGGAAACACTCTAAATGCCTACTACATAAATCACATAAATTATAGTATATCCACGCAGCAATATTACTCAGGTATAAGAGATTACGAGGAAATTCTGTATGCTTTTGGGACAGTTCTCCAAAATATACCATTAAATGAAGAAAGCAAGAAGCTAAACAGTGGTGCATAATATGTCACCATTTGTGTAAAAGGAAGAACCTATATTTTTATTAGCTTATATATGTAAAAAGAAACTCTGGAAGAAATTTAAAACAGTGGTTACTGAAAATGACACCGGGCCAATGGCAGACAGGGCAGAAAGTCATTTTACTCTATATGGTTTCATGATATTGGACTATGAAACATATTACCTATTTTAAAATAAATAAAATTCTTAACAAATAATGAATTAAAAAACAAAAAAAACTTTGCTGGTGAAATGGCTCCACAGAAACTTGGCAATGTGATGGTTTTAGAAAGTAAACTCAATTATTATTTACTTATTAATTTTGAGTTGGAGTCTCACTGTCGCTCAGGCTGGAGTGCAGTGACAAGCTCACGGCCACTGCAGCCTCGACCTGCTGGGCTCAGGTCATACTTCAACCCCAGCTTTCCAAGTAGCTGGAACTATAGGCATGCGCCATCACACCCGGTTAATTTTTCTTGATTTACTGTAGAGATGAGGTCTCATCAAGTTGCCCAGGCTGGTTTTGAACCCGTGGGCTCAGACAATCCTTTCACCTCGGTCTCCCAAAGTGTTGGGATTATAGGCATGAGCCACCATGCCCAGCCGTAAACTCAATTATTAATACCCAAATTGAAAGCTGCCCTAATAGGATTCATCCTTTCTAATTTATTTAATTCTATAAATTCACAAGTAACTGTCAACTAACCATGAACTGGGCAATTGCCTTAATGAAGAAAACCCGGTCTTGTTCAGTCTCAACATCAGGAGGAATGTCAATCTGAGGTTCATACCTACCAGAAAGAGAGAACGAACACAAGTCAATCAACCAGAAAGTCCACTAAGGGGAAAACAGGCAACTGAGAGCACAGAGTATGAAGCTCTCCAACTCTCCAGCTAAGACAGGAAGACTAAGAAAAACTTCAAAAGCAACACAAAATACCAAGGGAACAAATCTGCACCTAAGAACAGGCTTAACTGACTTCAAAAACCAAATGTGGGGCTCAGCAAACAAAATGAAATTTATCTCAGATCTCAAAGTTTCATGAAAATAATCAGAACTGCCTGATTATTTTCTGACAAGGGCTGACATAAATGCTAGTGCTAATTAGTTAGCTTTGAGAAACAGCTGAGTTGTTGGAAGTTACTTTCTTCACGTTGATATCTTGCCAGGGGTCAGCAGACTGCAAGCCCTCAACCTTCAGCCTATAAGCTAAGAACAGTTTTTACATTTTAAGAAAAAAAAAATATGCGACAGAAATCTTATGCTGTCTCTATATTTTATGTGTGATAGCATGTAAAATATTTACTATCTGGTCCTTAACAAAAGTTGCCAACTCTAAACCATATTAGGCTTATGCAAAAAAGAAATCCGAATTATTTCTAATCCATTGTACTGATTAGAATGTGCAAGGAGGTACCACCTGTCACTCTGGTGAGGAGATGACCAGGAGCTTGGCCCAGCACCCTTCTGAGGAATACTGAATTCTCCTTTCTTCACTGCCTGGTCTATTCCCCTCTCCTACAGTGTACTTTAAATCAGCTGATTTTAAATAGGCTACTGAGTCAGTCAAACACACTTCAGTGAACTCTTCCTTTTGCATCACAACATTATCCCGTTCCTAGGTGGCTAATAAAGAAAATCTAGTATTCATTCTTAGACTTCAATGAGTGCAGTTCTAACCTTTTCACAAGCCAGAGAAGCACCTCAGATACAAGTCCAAAATTGGGTGTGCGAAAATTTTCCATAGAAATATGTCGTGGGTATCCCAGGGCTCTCATCATCTCTGTGAAATCTGTCCACAGTAAAATACAATTCAGTTAGTTTCTTGCCAAACAGCAACTATGTATTTACTAGATAACACCTTTGCTTTCCCTTATTCCCAACATTCTGACAGTTTTAGGGACTATTTATCAGCTGTCTAAAAGAGAAAGCAAAAAGGAGATAAAACTGACAATACATAGTCTGCTACCTGAAAAACATCTACTTGAGTTCAATGGGAGAAGTAGATGTTATACAGGAAAATGGGATTTAGGAACTAGTTGTGAACTTCTCTCTTTTATATAACATTTCTCTTGACCAATCCAAATAAGAAATACCTGGCTTTATAAAATGTCATTAAACAAAATTGACAGTGGTTTAGATCTTAAATTTAGCTGATTAAGAAGTTTTTATTTAATGTCAACATTAGTTATTTCTAGGGGGAGTAGGCAGGGTGAAGTTAGAATTTCTGAGTTGTCTTTTTTTTTTAGTGAACATGTAACACAGGTTTTAAAGATTAGTAGCTTTGTATTTAGAGAAATCTTAAAGAGAGTGGTTGAAGTATAGAACAATATGTAATTTAGTATAAAACATATTAAGAAACAGTAATACCAATAGTTGATACCATAGGTTAGGTCACCTCAGGAAAAGCTATACTGCTTTCAAGAAAGTAAATTTGAAAAGAACACAACACACATTTTTTTGAATTCCAGTAATGTGCCAAGATCCATATTCTGTGTGCTTCCTGGCTATCTGCCCTCTTCGTGAAGATGGCTGTTCAAACCACCCCACTGACATTCATAAATAACCTACCTGAGCGTTGGAAGTTAAGTCAGATTTTTCCAGACAATGGAAGAGAAGGTACGAGCACACGAAAGAGCAAAATCAAAAAGGGATTCTACAGCTGTTTTTTGGGAAATGTGAATAGAGAGACAGAAAGCAGCAGGCTTCCCATCACAGAGTCAGGGCATTATCTAAATACTTCTTCCCTCTTGGTAGTCAAGTTCTGAAATTCTGAAGTATTATTGTCAAAACGAAGACTCATTTGAGTAAGAGTCTTACCATACATTGCACAACTGCACACCATCCATTTAAGGACAAAAGATTCTGAAATCCCCTTCTCGTTCAACTCCATTTGGCATCCCCTAGCAGAGTGCTCCACACCCACCTTGCCTATTGTCATCAGGAGCCCTCAGATCTCCGAGGACATGGATTCACACTACGGTGCTAGTTAGCCACACCAATAAAATGTGGTGCGTCTTCCTGGACATTTACACTGTAGCAAAAGAGCAGTTCATAACCGAAAGGCGTAATTTCTAAGGCTGACATTCCAGGCACCAGCAATTCGGTAAGAAATTCAAAGCGGACCCTCAAACCACAGCCAACTGGCAATCACCTACTATTGCTATGCGGGTGGAGCTGGCTAGCCGAACGGTTTTAGATTCAGAAAATAACTGTGTATAAAAAGCAGGAGATGCGGTGTCACACCGGCCTACGTCTTAGTCTGTAGTTCCACCCGTTTCTAGCTGTGAGACCCAAAGCAAGCCGCTCTGTGACTCAGGCGCTTCATCCATGAATTAGACCGCCTTCCTCGCTGTTAAAGCCAGAACATAAGACACGGAACGTAAGAAGCCCGGCATACCACAGGCGTCCCCCCTGGGGGTGGTCACTAATGCTCAGTCCCGTTCTTCCGACTTGGGCGCTCAGACAACCCGAATTCAAACTCCAGCGCCTGTGCCACTTGTCCAAGTTATGTGACTTCTCTGTGCCCGCGTCTTCACCTCTAAACACAGGGGCCGCAGGGTTGTTCAGAGGATTAAACGAAATGGGGCATAGACACAGAGCAGCCCCTGGCCAGCCGTGAAAGCTCAACAGGTGAGTCCCTCCTCGGCCACGTTGCTGTCCGTTTCCCTAACTGCAGGCTAACCCAACTCCGAAACACCGAAGTTTCCACGCATGCTCCATAGGCGGCGAGCAGCCCGTCCCCCGCGGCGGTCTACATGGAAATGGGTTAAAATCACACAGAATTAAAAAATCCAGTTTTTCAGCCGCATGCACCACATCTCAAGATTCCGTAGCCACACGTGCGGCCAGTGGCACTTGGAGAATTTTCTATCATCGCATGAAGTGCCATCAGACAGGCCCGGGCGCTCAGCCTGGGTCGCAGCCGCGGGCCGGAGACAAGCCCCGAGGCGCAGAGGCCTGAGAGGGGAGGCGGGGGAGGACCCCCGGCGGCGCGAGCCTCGGCAGGGCGCTCGCACGGGGGGGACTGGCGGGCCGAAGCCCCTAGTCTCTGGAAGACCCGCGGGTCGCAGGGGGCGGGGCTGGCTTACTGCGGAGGTCGCGGAAAGACATGACGCTCCGGTCCCCAAAAGCTCCGGGTCACGGCAGGTTGTCCCGCAGCGCTCGGGGCCCCGCGCAAGGCCGGTCGCTGTAGCAACCGACGGAGCCTTGGACGGCGTGCGAGCGGGGCCAAACAGGACGGGAAGCGGAGCAGCCGCCGCGTGCGCACGCGCAGAAAAGGGGCAGACGGCAGAGGGCGCTCCGTGAACGCCGAGGGCATCAGACGTGGTTGGCTTAACCTGACCTCTACCCGGCGATGCTGGGACCTCGGCACGCGGGCATACTGGGCCCGCGGCGCCCGAGCTCCAGTGTTTACGGAGGTTTGGCACTGACTGACAGGCAGCGAGTACCTACTATGTGCTCGACACTGCGGTAAGCGCTTTACACACTACTCATTTCTTTAAAGAATGTACTAGAACTGGGTGTGGTGGCTCACGCCTGTAATCCCAGCACTTTGGGAGGCCGAGGCGGGAGGATCGCTTGACCGTGGCGTTCAGGACCTGCCCGGGCAACATAGCGAGACTCTGACTCTACAAAAAATACAAAAATCAGACAGGCGTGGTGGTGTGCACCCGTCGTCCCAGCTACTCAGGAGGCTGAGGCAAAGAGGATCACTTGAGCCCAGGAATTCGAGGTTGCAGCGAGCCGCGATTGGGCCACTGCATAGCAGCCTGGGTGACAGCTAATCTAAAACCACAGGAATTTATTTGAGATTATTTTCATTTTGAATAGATGTCAAGATACCCAACTGAGATAGAAGTATTTATTCCCCTGAGAATTCAGCCACTGAGAATACAGACTCCGGAAGACACAAAACAAAAAGCATTTATTTATCACTACACACTGTATACATGCATCAAATGATCACGTGTAACCCCTAGAGAGATGCAAGTATATATTAAAAATAAGAATGTATTAGAATCTCAGAAAGTCGGGTTTGCCCCTTTCCCGTCCTGTGCACGGCGGGCTTCGACTCTGGCATCTGTGAAGTGGCTGGCCCGCGGCCCGTGCCCGGAGGGGCGGAGAAGTGCCCGTGGCGTGGAGGTCACGGGGCTCGGGAGAAGGAGCGGAGGCCCGCGCTGACCGCAGAACGCCAGCGTGGGGGGGTTGGGGTGGGAGGTAGCAGGGCAGGGAGGGGCGGGGGTGAGGTTCCGGCGGGGATTCTCGCAGCCTCCAGCCTCGGTCCGGCGCTGGCCCTGTCCACGGAAGCCTCGCAGTCGGAGGCTTGAGGAGACAAGCATCTCACGTGTGATACAGAAAGGTGCTCCGCCGGGGGCAGCACTGTCGGCTTTAGTCAGGTGGTTTGAGCAGGAACAAGAAAAGAGACTTGTGCAAAAAGCGACTGATCAGCCTCTGGTTATTTTCAGGCTACTTTCCTCCTACGGGTTAAAGCAGAGGGGACTTCCTTACCATGCTAGCGTAGGTTGACAGGCTTTACCCACTCACCCCCTTCTTTTTGAGACGGGGCCTCACTCTGTCACCCAGGCTGGAGTGCAGTGGGACGATCATAATTCACTGCAGCCTGGAGTCTTGAACTTCTGGTCTCAGGCAATTCTCCCACCTCAGTCTCCCAAGTAGCTGGAGCTACAGGCACACATCACCATGGCCCAAGTAATTTTCTAATTTTTTGTAGAGATGGAGTCTCGCTATATTGCCCAAGCCCGTCTCAAACTCCTGGCCTCAAGCGATCTTCCCACCCTGGCCTCCCAAAGCACTGGGTTTACAGGCTTGTGCCACCTGACTAGTGCCGCTTAGGTTGATTGCTGTGAATCTCCTGTTTTTTGACAAACTAGGTTGTTTCTGATTTTTTAAAAAATTATTTATTTATTTATTTATTTTTGAGTTGGAGTCTCACTCTGTCGCCCAGACTGGAGTGCAGTGGCCACTCCCGGCCACCGCAGCCTCGACCTGCTGGGCTCTGGCGATCCTTCTGCCTCAGCCTTCTGAGTAGCTGGAATTACAGGCGCGTGATACCACGCCCGGCTAATTTTTTTGATTTATTGTGGAGATGAGGTCTTGCCTGCCCAGGCGGGTCTCGAACCTGTGGGTTCAGGCAGTCCACTCACCTCAGCCTCCCAAAGCTGCAGGATTACAGGCTGAGCCACCGAGTCCGGCTTAGCCTGTTTCTATGTTCTGTTTGATTACATGGCACCTAGCACTAGTGACTCCATTGTGATTTGATCTGGTCTCTTGGTGTCTAGTGCCAGAGCTCACTCCCAAACAATGGCCTTCCATAAATTTTATTTCACAACACTACTAAGAAAACAGAAAGGGGCTGGGCATGGTGGCTTATGCCTGTAATGCCAGCACTTTGAGAGGCTGAAGCAGGAGGATTGCATGAGCCCTGGAGTTCGAGACCGGCCTGGGCCACATAGCAAGACCAACTCTCTATCAACAAAACAAAGCAAAAACCCCAAAATTAGCTGAGTATGGTGATGTGTGCCTGTAGTCCCTGCGCTTTGGGAGGCCGAAATGGGAGGACCGCTTGAGCCCAGAAGTTCAAGGTTCTGGTGAGCCGTGATGGCGCCACTGCTCCAGCCTGGGCAACATTTGAGACCTTGACACACACACACACACACACACACACACACACGCACTAAAATGAAAGAAAACAGAAAGGGGCTGGATGCAGTGGCTTTTGCATGTAATGGAGGCTGAGGTGTGAGGATCACTTGAGGCCAGGAGATTGAGCAACATAGACCCTATCTCTACAAAAATGAAAAATGAAAAAAATTAGCCAGTGTGGTGGTGTAGGCCTGTAGTCTTAGCTAAGAAAACAAAACAAAACAAAAAGATAAGGCACAGCCTAGAATAAAATATTTTTTAAAACATATGATAAAAAGACTTGTATCCAGAACATATAAGGAAATCTCATCACTCAATAATGAGAATTCATTATTTATTGTCCAATTCAAAAATGGACAAAAAACTTTTAATAGATACTTCATAAAAGAAGATATATAGTCCTATTTATGACTGAGACCAAGGAAAAAAGGAGATATATGGATAGAAATAAGTAAACAAAGAGCACTTTGGGAGGCTGAGGTGAGCAGATCAAGAAAAGCCTGGGCAACTTTGCAAGACCTCATCTCTACAATAAATCAAGAAATTAGCCAGGCGTGGTAGCATGCACCTGTAGTGCTGGCACTTGGAGGGCTGAGGTGGAAGGATTGCTTGAGCCCAGCAGGTTGACGCTGGGGTGGCTGTGAGCATGCACACTCCAGCCTGGCCACAGAGTGAGACTCCAACTCAAAAAAAAAAGGAAACAAAGAGATGCTCAAGATTATTCGTTATTAGGGAAGTGCATATTAAACCACTGCAGTGAGATATCACTATGAAGTTATTAAAATGGCTAAAACATGCCATGTCAGATAACATGTTTTTAAAAAAGACCTAAAAATTACATGTAGATAAAATAACTAAAACAAAAAACTGACAATGTCAGGGGCTTGAAAGGATGTTGATCAACTTGAACTTTTATGCATAATTGATGAAAATGTCAAAGAGTGCAGCCACTTTGAAGAACAGTTCGTAGTTTTATTTTGTTTGTTTTTTTCTGGGTTTTTTTTTTTGTTTCTTTGGTTTTTTTGAGTCAGAGTCTCACTCTGTTGTCCAGACTGGAGTGCAGCGGCACGCTCATGGCCACCGCAGCCTTGACCTGCTGGGCTTAGGTGATCCTCTCGCCTCAGCCTTCCAAGTAACTGGAACCACAGGTATGTGCCACCATGCCTGGCTAATTTTCTGATTTATTGTAGAGACACAGTCTCGCTGTGTTGCTCAGGCTGGTTTCCAACCCTGGAGCTCAGGCAATCCTCTCACCTCTGCCTCCCAAAGTGCTAGGATTACAGGTGTAAGCCACGGTGCCTGGCTAGTTTTCTTCTAAAGTTAAACCTACACTTAACAGATCGCTCAGCAATCCTACTCGCAGGTATTTGTCCAAGAGCAATGAAAACTTACGTTCACACAGAAACCAAGAGCAATGAAAACTTACGTTCACACAAATGTTTACAACAGCTTTATTCATAATCACCCAAATCTGGAAACCACCCAAATGTGCCTCAATTTGCGAATAGATAAGCAAACTATAGTACAGTGGAACACCAGTCAGCAATAAAAGAAGGAACAAACTGCTGGTATATACAAGAGTAAGAAGGAATCTCCAATGCATTATGCTGAGTGGAAAAAGCCGGACTCAATAGGCTACCTACTGAATGAGTCCATTTATGTGACAGTCTAGATGAGATGAAACCGTGAGTGGAAAAAGCCGGACTCAATAGGC